TCGATGTTATGTAAAAGTACCAAAAACTAAGCGCAGCCGGACTGCATTGAGACCTCAAATTTTCCCCGTCATTCACAAGAATACCACCAACTATCTCTGCTACGTAAGCCCTTCACTGGTCACCCTTGGTTGTTTCTTTCTCGATGGTATCATTTGATTCATCTCCTTGCTACAACCAAATTGCACTTAAATTTACACATTCATAAAAAATTTATTACAGGCAACCTCTCAGGTCGGATTTGTGGCAAATTTCTGCTTTCTTCTTGCAATGCTGCTCGGCTTCATCCGACTGCTGTCCCCAACTTCGCCACTGCAAAAACACCAAACCTAATCGGTTCAAAAAAAAGAGTAAATAGCAAAGCGCACCATGCAGCGGGTACGATTATGCGTTTTGCGCAGTTCCGTGCAGCGGACGTTTGCTTACTAAAAATATGACCATTTCACACTTTCGTATATAGAAAAGTAGTAGATATGCTATCTGGCTCCTAAGGTGAGGAATTTCCCACTGAAAATTTCACGTGCCGCTACGTGAAAGCCGAATTTGAAAACATGGATGGGGTACATCCTTCCAAATTTCAACCTTCTATTTTTCCGGCTTCCGAGCTAGTGACTTTCACATTAAAATTCCCATGTGATCTTACGTAACACCCCTGCAAATTTGGGGGCTATATTTGAGTGAGATACCTGCAGCAGTAGAAAATATCGTACTGAAATTTCAGCTTCCTAACTTTTATGGCTCTCGGGATAATTTTCCGCCAAAACTTTCATGGGGCCGTAAGCGATACCCAAACGCACGAGAAAACTGAAATTTTCTGGGTTGCACGCAGTCAAAGGGCATAACCATAAAATTTCAGCTCCCTAGCCTTCGCGGTTCCTAAGATGATTTCACCCGCCAAAACTTTTACGAGGTCGTACGTGTTACTCGCTGGCACGGGAAGGCTGAACTTAAGTTCCCTAGATCGCACGTGGACAGAGGACATATCCATAAAACTTCAGTTTCCCAGCTTTTTTTTTCCCGTCAAAATTTTATGGGGCCGTATGTGCTACCCGCGGGCAATGAAAGGTTGAATTTCAATTTTCTGGGCCTTACGTGGGCAGAGGACATACCCATAAAATTTCAGCTTCGTAGCTTCCGTGGTTCCCGAGATAATAATTTACCCGCCAAAAATTTCAAGGAGAAGTAGGTAACACTCGAGAGCGCGCGAACACTGAATTTGCGAGGCCATACGTGAGCAGGGGTCATTACCCTAAAGTTTCAGCTCCCTAGATTCCGCGATTTCCTAGATAATAGTTTACTCGCCAAAAGTTTCACCGGGTCGTATATGTTACCCGCGGGTACAGGAAGGGCGAATTTGAGTTTTCTGGGTTACACGTGGTCAGGGGACATACCCATAAAATCTCAGCTCCCTAGCTTCCGTGGTTCCCGAGATACTGA